TAAATTAAATTAAATGAGGATAAAGACATCTAATGCTGAGAACAAATGATCTGCCCAGAACAAGCTAGCTGCCCAGAATCATCTTTAACATATTTTAGGTTCTCAACTGACAGTAATTCCCTTTCTCATTAAATAGGAGGAAGTTATGATCAGGGACCCAAAACAGCATCTCCACCGTCTCTGCCTATTCAAAATCAATGCTACTTTTTAAAACATACAAACTCAGTGAGTGCTGGGAATATAGTTCAACAGCATAACCACCTGCCTGGCAAGTACAACGTCACAAGCTTGATCCCCAGTCCTGCAAAAAATAAGTAAATAAACAAACAAAAAACAATCAGTGAAATCCTACAAATGTAGCAGAAGTATCACAATATATTTCATACACCCTACAAGCTTAAGATTGCTAGAAATGGTGCTTAGTCACAACCCATAATCATTGTGTAACAAAATTCAGTGCATATTAGAATAATCTTACTATTTCTTTTTTAATATTTATAGCCCGATATAAATATTAAGATGAAATTTTTAAAAATTCTTCTATTTGAACCATAGGTCCTAGGCTCAGACAATTATATACAAGCTTCTTCCTAACATGAATGAAGAGAGCATCTTTTATAGTGAAGGACCAGTTGTATACTGCAGGTCTTCTAGCATCCCTGATCTCTGACAATTAAGTATCAAGAATGGCCTCATGTCATTGTGACAACTCCAAAAAAATCCACACATTTTAAACTGCACTCTATAAAGTAGCACTAGTCTAGCTAAGAATTATTACCCCAGAGCTTCCCTGGTTGACAACAGGGAAGATGTCTGTGGCACAGAGCACTATCCTTTTCTTTTACCTTCACACAATTATGACCCTCTCCCTGCTGCTTGTCACTCTGTCTAGATGGATCTTAATCTTTGCTGCCCTCTATGTAGTCATCATTCTCACACAGGTTCTTTGGGGGCTGTAGGCCCAGCTCTTCAGAGGCCTCTGTCTGCTGTATTTTCCAAAATGAGCTGTAGCACCCACTTCTCGCCAACCTTTCCCCACTCAGCTGCTGCCATCCGTGGCACAACCCATAGTCTAAGCTGCTGCAGTTGCCCTTCTCGCCCATAAGAAGTAATGGAGGGGTCTCCTTTCTTCCTCACCCACTCAAGCCTTCTTCCTTAAACACTAAGGCATTCGATGGAGTACCTGTGAATGGCAGCCAGGGAGTCAAGTCTCAAATGTAGGCAGGACTCTTTAGAATGTGGAATGGTTGCAGTCTTTGTCCTTAACTTGGGCCCTGTTTTCCAGTTCCAGGGAGAGAGGAAATCACCCTCGTAACATCTGGGTACTACAGATAGTTGCCCCTGAGAAGAACTGAGGGTCTGGGTGGGAGGCAGCCACTCTACCACATAGTCTTCCAATGCTTGATTTTGTATCATGTGCACTTATTGTCATTCAATTAAGAGTTGTCTACCACTGTATGTTATTGTATTTAATTTAACTTTATGTATTTATTTATTTTTATTTATTTATTTATTTACTTTTTGCAGTACTGGCGATTGAACCCAAGACCTTGTGCTTGCCAGGTATCTAATTTTATTGTCATGCTGGGGATCAAACTCAGAGCCTTATGCATGGTGGACAAGTGCTCTGCTGCTGACGTAGAGCCAGCATCATTAATTTCATTTATTAGCTGACACATAAAAACATAAAATTGTGCATAGGGTACCATGGGTGATGTTTTAACACATGTTGAGTTGCCTATTTTTAGAAAGACAAATAATTATTCTATGTGCATTGACTTGAAATATGTATGATTTATTAAGTCAGTAGAGAAAACTGCAAACTATTGGGTATAACTGGGTACCAATAGCAACAGGTGGAACAGCAGTAGAAGGAAAAGAAATGCACAGCCTGCTGCATGCCTCTGCTGGTACACATGGCATAAGGAAAGGTAGGGAGGACCACATACCCAAGGCACAGATGGTGGAGTAAAAGAAGAGCTTTTGTTTCCTTTATTATTATTTAAATTTTTAGAATGACATATGCTTCTTGTAACAAATGCAGATTCAAACAAGGGCATATTATATCTGTAATTTGAAAAGGGGGGAGAGAGAAGGTGGAAAAGAAGAAAGACTATCTAATATCATCACATGTATAACCACAGTCCTAACAAATAGATCAACAAAACAAACTTGAAGCTGTCACATACAGATCTGCCTGACATCCTGAGACAGATTTATCTATTCCTTCCTTTTTTCTCAAGTTTGGGTTTCAGAGATAGGTAACACACAAGCATTGGTCACACTCTACCAGAAGCAGCTAGAGAACTTCTTCAGGTAGTGCCTGTGCCTGAGCCTCTGGCTGCTCCTCTGTCCCTGCCACTGCCTCTACCCTCACCTCCTGCTCTCAGGTCCTTCCCTCTTCCCTTCCCTTCTTAAGTAAAACAACAGATTTTTGGTTTTTTTAGCTGCAGTTCTGGGGGGTCCAAAAGTTGTCACTGGTTTCGATTGGACTCCAGTGATGCCAAAGTGTTGGCAAGATGTGTAGGAGGAAGACATCACATGATGAGACTAAAATCCAGGGGGAGTCTGAGGTCACCTAAGAACTCTATCAATCTCCTGTAAAGGCTACTTCCAACGACCTAAAGACCTCCCACTAGACGCCACCTTTTAAATGTCCCACCACCTCACATGTCACCTCCTCCAGGACAAATCTTCCAACACTTGGACTCTCAGAAGACGCACATATAGAACATACAAACCACAGCTTTCTACCCCAGGCCCCAAGGTTCATTTCTTTCACACAATGCAAAATACAGTCATTCCACAGAGGTCTTTGGTTAACCTTCCAAGACTCCTATGACCCTGTGACAGTTAACTGTTGTGTCAGCTAGAGTGGGAACAGCCCAACTGACTGGATTAGCATAGTTCTGGATATGACTGAAAGGACTGACTGAAGAGGGAAGACCATCCTGGGTGTGTGTGGCACCAATCAATAGGTTTTTAGCCTGAATGAAAGAAAAAAGTCTATCTCATTTCTTCAGAGGAGTTTAGTCCTTGCCATGACCTTGGGACCTCTGTCTCCAGGCTTCCAGCTCAGACTCCAGTCTTCCAATGTGAACTCTGCAGTGAACTCCAGATTTTCTATCTACAACTGGATTGTTGGCTCTCCAGTGCAGAGACAGCTCTTTTATTCTCATCCACACCTGACTCTGCAAATGGCCATTGTAAGCCTACCTTGTAAATATTTATTATATTAAATTTGTTACTCTATTGAGTCCTGACACAGACCCTATATGATATAAGAACAATATCATTCTATTTGTAAATAAACAACCAAAAAATTTTATTAATTTTATTGAGAAACAAATAGCAATGAGACAGTTTCAAAACCAATTAGTAGAACAGTTTTAGTAATTAATACATTGCATATTGTTGTCTTCATAGTGGTTACTCATAGTACAAGATGCAGACATGATATCCTATCCAAACACTATTAGTACAAATCTTTCTTCTCATTGAATTAAGAGAAAATAGCTGTATATCTATCCTATTTTGTATCTACAGATACAAAACGATCCTTCATTTGTATCCCCTTATCTTGTTTGGTTTTGTCAGAGATGTGTATTCCATTGCCATTTAAATATTGCAGGTGCATGAATTCAACAAAGTAATCCAATATAGTCCAGTAGTCCATAATAGTAGTGCGTTTTCTATAAGAATGGCAATGTCAGAAGTTATTATTGACTTGAGCTTTTCACAGCTAAGCATATTAATGGCTTTACTTTTTGTACCTCATTTTTATACTTTTCTGCTGGATGGTTAAGACCAAGATAAAGCAAGACCTATATAACAAGAAATGTAACTTTTGTATCTGACAAAGTCAGTCAAATCCCCTCAGGATTTACCCTGAAACCCTGTACCACAGTTTAAACAACCAAAATTAAATAACATCAGTGGTTAAGGAATTCAGCCTTTCATAGCATCCATTAATTTTTTCAAAGTAAAATTTTACTGGAAGATTTGGGGGCTGGGGAGATAAATCAGTAGAATAATCACAAGGGCCTGAGTTCAATCCCCGGTTCTGCAAAAAAAAAAAAAAAAAGAAAGAAAGAAAGAAAGAAAGAAAGAAAGAAAATATTTATTGAAAGCCAGAATTGATACACACACACACACACACACACACACACACACACACACGTACCTGGATATCTCTAAGTCAGGGGAGGTTTCTAAGAGGCACTTAAGCTAAGTAATAATGCAGAGATGCAAATGTGCCCCGTAACCTCCACCCCAGAAGCCTGGGCCTCCCTGGCACATCAGCCTGAGTACATTTCCCTTCTGACCATGTCAGAGGGCAGTGCACCTCTTAGAAAAGGAACTAATCTTATTCCCCAAATTAAGATGGAAAATGCATGTACAACAGAGAGGCAATTATTAAAAATAATAAAAAATATTGATAGTAAAGATGAGAATGGCACAAGAGAACCATCTAACACATTGAGGATATATGTAGAAAATAGGATTTTAGCTTAAATAAATGTTACAGATTTGGGATAAAGATGTTTCTTGTAGCATTATATATAATAATGAAATATTAAAAACTATTCAATAATAATGGCTAACTGAACTATAATCTACTCATAAAAGTTTCATAATGTTTGAAACTATAAAAACATAATTGTATACCTAACATGATTCTAATTTTTTTTTTTCAGAACAGGGGATTGAACTCAAGCCTTTGTGTTTGCCAGGTAAGCGCTTATTCCACAGAGCCATCTCCCCAGCCCTCATGATTTTAATTTTTTAAAAATGTTTTTAAACTATAGAAAATTATAATTTGAGGCCCGCGGGACCCCTCCAGACCAAAACTCAGGCACCCGCGTGAGTAAGACCCTCTACCTCATGATCAGGACTGCTGCAACCCTCCAGAGCCCCCGCCCCCAAACCCACGGAGTGAGTGACAGCTTCTGCGACTCTCTCGGGCCGCAGATCCATCCCAAGCCCAGACACTGCTAGGGTGTGGGAGAGCTTCTATGTTCCCCTGTGCTCTCTGGGCCAGGGACACAATAGAGGGGCAACACACGTTCACTGTTGTGCCAGAGGGACACAACAGGTTCACTTCCAAGGGCAGCAGCAGGAAGGAGCTGAACACAACAGCTAGACCCAGACCAGGCATAACCAGATAAACTCAACCTTAATAGCTCTGTACCCAAATTTCAGTAGGTGCTAAGGTTATAACTGCACCAAAGCTCTACAACAAAGGTCAGAGGTCAGTGTTATACAAAATGACAAAGACAAGGAGCAAAATGCAATCTCAGGCCTCAAGCACACCCACAAAAAGTGGAGAGGACACTAGCTCAGCTGAATTGAATGAATTAACAGCATCAGAAGTAAAGAAACAACAGCAGAAAGACATAGAGGAAATCAGAGCAGAATTAATTCCTGAAATGAAAAAAGAAATCTCTGAATTTATAGACTCCAAAATAAAGAATCAAATAGAGAAACATATATAGGAAACTCAGTCTGAAAAAAACTCTGCATTAAAAAATTAATAACTGCTTCTAAAAAAGACATAAATAAAAAATAGACCAGATTAGAAATATGATGGATTCCTTTTGAATGAGCAATACAGGAAGGAAATAGATCACATGAAGCAAAATAAAAGAGATATAGAGGAAATTAAAATCTCAATCACAAGCCTGAAAAACCATTTGAGTAAAAGTGAAGATAGAGTTTCAGATCTTGAAGATGCTGCTGCAGATAGTAAAAAGGTACGAAAGGCTCTCTTAAAAACAACTAGGATGCAGGAAAAAATAATCCATCACCTGCAAGACGAGGCAAAGATGAACAATGTGAGACTAATAGGCATCAATGAGAAAGACGAAGTCAACACAAATGATATAAAAAGAATATGGTCAGAAGTAATAGCAGAAAACTTCCCAACTATGAGGAAACAATCTGACATTCAGGTAACTGAAGCATACAGAATGCCAAATAATTTCAACCCAATTAAAAACACACTGAGACATATAATAGTCAAGATCCCAGAAATCCAACACAAGAATAATGTGCTGAAAGCCGCTAGAGAAAAGAAGCAGATCACAGTCAAAGGAAAACCCATCAGAATTGCGGCTAACTTCTCTTCACAAACCATGAAGGCAAGAAGAGCATGGAGCAGAGTACTTCAAGCGCTCTAGGAAAACAAATTCCAGTGCAGACTACTATATCCTGCAAAACTCTCTTTCAAGTTGGATGGAGAAGTGAAATACTTTCATGACAAAGAACAACTAAAGAATTGCATGATGACAAAGCCAACCCTACAGAGAATACTGAAAGACGTTCTAGAGAGAGACCAAAATGATCAGAACTCCATGAATGAGAACAGAAGGAACCCACTAAATAGGGCAAACAATTAAACACAGGAAAAAAGGAGTAATCAACAGTGGGTAAATAACATGTCAATCATAAGTAAAAGGGCAGAACGAGGCGGCTGAGCGGCAGACGCAGACATGCAGATCTTTGTGAAGACCCTGACGGGCAAGACCATCACCCTCGAGGTTGAGCCCAGTGACACCATCGAGAATGTCAAAGCCAAAATCCAAGACAAGGAGGGCATCCCACCTGACCAGCAGCATCTGATATTTGCCGGCAAACAACTGGAGTATGGGCGGACCCTCTCTGACTACAACATCCAAAAAGAGTCCACTCTGCACCTGGTGCTTCGCCTGCGAGGTGGGATCATCGAGCCATCCCTGCACCAGCTTGCCCAGAAGTACAACTGTGACAAGATGATCTGCTGCAAGTGTTATGCCCGCCTGCACCCCCGTGCTGTCAACTGCTGCAAGAAGAAGTGTGGCCACACCAACAACCTGCGCCCCAAGAAGAAGGTCAAATAAAGCTCAACCAACCCCTCATCCAGAAGGGCACCACCTGCCCAACGCCTGCAGCCTTGGGGCCTGAATAAAGTTTCCCTCCCTTGACTAGAGCAAAAAATAAATAAATAAATAAATAAATAAATAAATAAATAAGTAAAAGGGCAGGGGAGATGGCTCAGTGGAATAAGCGCTTCCCTGGCAAGCGCAAGGGCCTGAGTTCAATTCACGCTTCCGAAAAAAAAAAAATTCATAAGTAAACACATCACAATTAAAACCATTAATGTAAACGGACTCCATTCACCAATTAAGAGAAATAGACTGGCACAGTGGATTACAAAACAAAATCCAACAATATGCTCGATATAAGAAACACACTTAACTCAAAAATACAGTCATAGGCTTAAAGTCAAACTATGGAATACAATACTACATGCCCCAGCACCTTAGAAAAAAGCAGGGGTAGCAATCCTGTTTTCAGACAGTCTCAACTTCAAACAAAGAATGATTGAAAGAAAAAAAGAAGGCCATTATGTACTGGTTAGGGGAAAAATTCAAGAGGAAGAGATAACATTCATAAATATCTGTGCACCAAACACAAAAGCACCCAATAATATAAGAAAAATCTTAATGGACATGAAAAATCTAATATCCAAGAACACAGTCTTAACAGGAGACTTTAACACCACCTTGTCTCAAAAAGATAAATCAACCAGACAAAAAATTAGCAAAGAAGTACCAGAACTGAACCGGAGCTTGGAACAAATAGACTGGGTGGACATATACAGAGTGTTCCACCCAAGGACAGCTAAATACACATTCTTTTCAGCTGCACATGGGTCATTTTCTAAAATAGACCACATATTAATCCATAGGTCATGCTTAAGTATATGCAAGAAAACAGAAATAATCTCATGTATATTATCTGACCACAGTGCAATGAAACTGGAAATAAATGACAAAAGAAACCAGAAAAACCCCCTAAATACATGGAAATTAAACAACACCATACTCAGCAATCAATGGGTCACAGATGAAATTAAACAAGAAATTCAACAATATCTGCAATTCAGTGAAAATTCAATCACAATTTATCAGAATTTAAGGGATGCAATGAAAGCAGTTCTCAGAGGGAACTTCAGAGCTTAGAACTCACACATTATGAAAACAGAACAGGAACAAATAAACACCCTAAGGCTGCACCTCTGACATCTAGAAAAGGAAGAGCAATCCAAGCCCACAGCCCAAAGACAAGAAGAAATCATAAAGATTAGAGCAGAAATTAATTCAATTGAGATGAAGAAAACAGTTCAAAGAATTAACAAATCAAAAAGCTGGTTCTTTGAATGACTAATAAAATTGATAAACCCCTAGCTAACATCATCAAAAAGAGGAAAAAAAAAATTCAAATACAAGCAATAAGTAATGAAAAGGGTCTAATTACCAGAGACCAAGTGAAAATTCAGATTATCAATATCTACTTTGAGAATCTTTTTGGTCACAGAATAGAAGACACAGATGAAATGGACAGATTCCTAGTAAGGTACAAATTACCAAAACTGAATCAAGAAGATATAACAACTCTCAGTAACCCAATAACAGCCAAAGAAATATGAAATGCAATAACAAGCCTGCTAACAAAGAAAAGTCAAGGCCCTGATGGAGTCACAGCTGAATTCTACAAGAAATTTATAAAAGATATAATTCCAACACTCCTCAAACTGTTCAATGAAATTGAAAAGGAAGCAGTCCTCCCAAAATCATTCCTCTAGGCAAGTATTACACTGATACCAAAACCAGGAAAAGACACAACTAAAAAAGAGAACTACAGGCCAATCTCCCTCATGAACATAGATGCAAAAATCCTCAATAAAATCCTAGCAAATAGAATACAGCAAAACATTAAGATCATACAGCATAACCAGGTAGGATTTATCCCAGGGGTGCAAGAATGGTTCAATATTTGAAAATCTATAAATGCAATGCACTATATTAATAGAGCAAAATCTAAAAACCCCATGATCAACTCCACTGATACAGAATAGGCTTTTGACAAAGTCCAACACTCATTCATGTTCAAAGCCCTACAGAATATTGGAATATATGGCCTCTACCTCAATCTGATAAAAAGCCGTCTATGACAACCCAGCAGCTAATATAATTCTAAATGGGGAAAAATTGAAATCTTTTACTCTCAAATATTATACAAGACAAGGATGTCCTCTATCACCCCTACTATTCAATATAGTTTTGGAATTATTAGGTAGAGACATTAAACAAGAGAGAAAAATAAAAGGAATAAGAATAGGAAAACAAGAAGTTAAATTATCATTACTTGCAGATGACATACTTTACTTGGAAGACCCAAAAAATTCCACCAAGAATCTACTAGAATTGATACACAAATTCAGTAGCATAGCAGGATATAAAATCAATACTCAAAAGTCAATAGCATTCCTCTACACAGATAACAAACACACTGAAAAGGAAATTAGACACACTACATTTTACAACAGCACTGAAGAAAATGAAATGCCTTGGAACTCAGTTAACTAAAGAAGTCAAACATCTTTTCAAGGAAAATTACAGTACTCTGAAAAAAGATATTGTAGAGGATTTCAGAAAATGGAAAGATATTCCCTGTTCCTAGATAAGAAGGACCAACATCGTGAAGATCGCCATACTTTCAAAATTATTGCACAGATTTAATGCAATCCCTATCAAACTAACACCAACATACCTCCCAGACCTAGAGAAATCCTTCCTAAAATTTATTTGGAACAAGAAAAGACCTAGGATACCAAAGGCAATTCTGGCCAACAAAGACAAGGCAGAAGGCATTACAATTCCTGACTTGAAATTTTACTATAAAACTACTGTGATAAAATCAACATGGCATTGGCAACGAAATAGACCTGAGCATCAATGGAATAGATTAGAAGATGCAGAGGCCTCTATGAACACACTCAGCTACCTGATCTTCGACAAAGGGGCCAAACATGCTTACTGGAAGAAAGATATCCTTTGTTTAACAAACAGTGCTGGAAAAACTGGCTCCCTACATGCCAAAAACTAAAACTTGACTCAGGTCTATCCCATGCACTAAACTAAAATCAAAGTGGATTAAAGATCTAAACATTAAAACAGAAACACTAAATCTCCTGAAAGAGAAATAGGAGGAACTCTTGAAGACATAGGGGTAGGCAAAGAGCTCATGAACAAAAATCAAGTCCCATGGTCAACACTTGAAAGAATTGACAACTGCGACCAACTCTTATTGAGAAGTTTTTGTACATCAAAAGAAATTACCAACAAAGTCAAAAGACAACACACAAATTTTGACAAAATCTTAACTAATAAACACTCAGACAAAGGTCTGCTCTCTAGAATTTATAAATAACTAAAATATATTAATTTAAAGACCCAATCCAGAAATGGGCATCAGAGATGAACACACACTTCTCAGAGGATGAAATTAAACAAGAGAATAAATATATGAAAAAATGCTCCACATCACTACCCATCCATGAAATGCAAATCAAAACAACACTGAGATACCATCTCACCCAACAAAGAATGGCTATCTTTTTTTTTTTTTTTTTGCTGTTTATACAAAATACTTTAGTTATTAGTAAGTCAATGTGTTATGATACCAATATCTTCTTGCTTTTAAAGCATTAGAACTAACAATGTTTCTGGCATGATAAAATTGTGGAATTGAATCAGCGATTTATATTCACATAGAATGGGGTTTTTAAAGCTTTTTTTTTAAATTTTATTTTGAGGAGTACAAACTAAAGCAAAAACAAATAGCAGAAGCAAAGACAAAAACAGGATAACATAAACAATACATATGTTACAGGCTTTCAAAACAAGAGTAGATAATTGTCAATAGTTGATATGTTATCTATTTCTATCATCAAATCAGTTGCTCAGATTAACAGATATAGTTACATAAGATTAGGCAAATGATTGAATATTGCTATTTGCCTTCAAGAAACATTAATTATTTTTGCCTCTTTTTCCTTTTTCATTTTATAAAAAATTTATTTTAAAGAGATATAATAATTGATATGACTTTAGAAGCAGTAAAAAATATGGAACGCTTCATGAATTTGCGTGTCATCTTTGCACAGGGGCCATGCTAATCTTCTCTGTATCGTTCCAATTTTAGTATATGTGCTGCCAAAGCAAGCACAAGAATGGCTATCTTAAAGAAATCAACCAACAACAAATGTTGGAGAAGCTGTGGGGAAAAGGAACCCTTCTCCACTGCTGGTAGGAATGTAGACTGGTGCAACAATTGTAGAAATTAGTGTGGAGACTCCTTAAGAAAGTAGGACTGGAAATCCCATTCAATCTAGCTATCTCCCTACTGGGAATTTTCCAAGAGGAACTGAAAATATCATATCATAGTGATATATGTGTACTTATGTTTATAGCAGCATAATTTTTGATAGCCAAATCTTGGAAACAACCAAGATGCCCGTCACCTGAGCAATGGTTGAAAAAGTGTGGTACTTTTATACAATGGAGTATTACTCAGCTATAAGGAATGATAAACTTGAAGCATTTATATTTAAGTGGATGCCACTTGAGGATATACTCATAAGTGAAATAAACCAGACCCACATGTGTAAATATCATATAGTCCCCCTAGTATAAGAAATCAAAAGAAGAAATACAAATAGAAAGGTATAACACAACTAAAAGGAAAGCGAGAACTTGAGGACTGGACAATGAGGAGAGGTTAAGGAGAAAACATGGGAAACAAGACAGGGACAAAGCCATATACTTGCATGCACAGTATGGGCACGGCAATGATCCTGAGAAACATCAGCAGATTTTTGAAACTGGCAGCTATTTGGTAGGATTCTCACCCTGACTAATTATATATGCTGATACCTGTGAACTATGCAACTGCACTGAAGATAGCAATGTGTAATAGAAGGGTCACGCTTGGAATGCCTGTCATTCTGGTATTCTAAATGCATACTTCTTGTCATGACATTCCAATTATTACCATACTGTCTCACAAATAAAAGGGTTTTTTTTGTTTGTCTTTTTTAAAATGGATAATAAATGAAAAAAAAGACACAAGAAAAAGAAAAAAA